GTTGCTGTCGTTGTGCCGCCGCCATGTTTTTTTGTCGCAGAGCCTTGCATGGAACTTTTCAGTCGTTTAGAAGTAACTTCAGTCGGATATTTTAAGTATACCAAAAGCCAAATTTCGTTGGGAATGGTTTAAAAGGCGCTCTTAGGGGGGGTCCCATTTGCGGGAGCTTCCTGTCCTGTAGACACAAGAGGAAGTGGAATGGTTAAAAGGTGCTCTTAGGGGGGGTCCCATTTGGGGGAGCTTCCTGTCCTGTAGACACAAGAGGAAGTGGAATGGTTAAAACGCGCTCTTAGGGGGGTCCCATTTTGCGGGAGCTTCCTGTCCGGTAGACATAAGAGGAAGTGCAATGGTTAAAAGGCGCTCCTTAGGGGGGTCCCATTTTGGGGAGCTTCCTGTCCTGTAGACACAAGAGGAAGTGGAATGGTTAAAAGGTGCTCCTTAGGGGGGGGGTCCCATTTGGGGGAGCTTCCTGTCCTGTAGACACAAGAGGAAGTAAGAGAGATGTGACATTGGAAAGTTTCCTCTAAGATCTCCCATCACTCTCCGTCTTGGGTCACCAGGACAAATGAAGAGGAAGATGGTGAATCTCCCTAATGGGGACACTGACAGTAATACAAAAAAAAAACTGATTGGAGGTGGGGGGGTCTGATCCTTCCCTACGCTCCCAAAAATACATTTTGGCTTTGTAGACACTGCAACGTTCTAACTGTACTGATCAGCTGCAAGGTTCTGGAAAAGCAAATTTTGGTAAATTTTGAAACTTGGTTGATAATATGTTGGTGTCCAACTCCAGCCCCTTGAGGACCAAGAACCCCAAACATTTTTTTGGGGGTGAATGAAGTAAGATGAGATTGTCTGTGTGTGCCCCCCCCCGGAGAACTGGAGTTGGACACTTCTGCTCTAGGTTGTAACTACGTTGTCTCGGGAATGTTGTGTCTCCATCTCTATGTCCCGGGCTCTCTGCACGGCCATGACTCTGCAGATATTGAAACGGTCCAATCAAATGCTGGTTTTGTAGATCCGCATTTCCCGATTGGTCAAAGTTTTATGTCCATTTCACGTCGAATGTTTTATTTATTTATCTTTTTGCCGTTTCTCAGTCTTGTTTTTGCTTTATTTGGTGAATTTGGTGAATTTGGTGAATTTGATGCCCCCGGGTGATTACTTCTTTTGAGTTGTAGTTCATGACCCGGGATCAGGCCCAGGGGTTACACTATAGAGCCCTCACACCCCGGCAGCCCCTCCCCAACCTTCTATCTAGATAAGCTGAATAAAAGGGTCTGAGGCTGCTGAGATGAGGAAAAAAGGAATGTATAATATACAAAGTCAGTGAAAACAAACTGAGTATTAGAGCTCCGGGCTCTCATAGGCTGCTTTCTGTAAGCAGGAAGAGCAGGGGGGGTGGCGGAGGGGGCTGCTTCGAACTTGGGTGGTCACCATAGGTAGTGGGTGGTCTAGGACCTAATAGGAGGGCTACAAAAGGCTTGTTGCTGAAGCTGACGAGATGGTAAGCAGCTGTGTCTCGTAAGGGAGGGGGATGGGAAGTCTGTTAAACATATACTGCCATATAGACGGGTTAAAAATAACTCCCATCTATACTGGACATAGAGACACGGACTTTATATAAGGACTATATACATATAATACATATAGAGACATAGACTTTATAGAAGCACTATATACATATAATACATATAAGGACATGGACTTTATATAAGGACTATATACATATAATACATACAGAGACATGGACTTTATATAAGGAGGACTATATACATATAATACATATAGGGACATAGGCTTTATATAAGGACTATATACATATAATACATATAAGGACTATATACATATAATACATATAAGGACGTGGACTTTATATAAGGACTATATACATATAATACATATCAGGACTGTATATACATATAATACATATCAGGACTGTATATACATATAGTACATGTAAGGACATAGGCTTTATATAAGGACAGCCGGAGGAACTCCGATAGATACATTATTATTATACATGTATATAGCTCTGACATATACCGCAGTGCTGTATAAAGAAAACTGAGCCAGTCACATCAGTCTCTGTACAGAGGAGCTGACACTCTAATGTCCAATCCCCCACAGTCACATCAGTCTCTGTACAGAGGAGCTTACACTCTAATGCCCCCCCCCCCCCACACAGCCACCTCAGAG